GCAGGATTTCCCCACAGTCCCTAGTGTAAATAGCAGAGCCAGGAAGCCCAAGGAATGTATTTTTTAATGCCCGAGAGTGTATGCAGGAGAGAGAGAACTCCCTCATCCCCACAGGGCTGGTCACACTGCAACCCCTTTGCCTCCATTTCTCCAGCCCACCATTGGGATCCTGGGCACATGTGATTGTGTGCCTGTGTGCCTGGTGTGCTGTTGCCAGGGCCGGGATTTGAACAGCAGTAGGCCCCATGGGACCCAGCTTCCTTTCCAGTGCTTAACTACTGTGCTACAGGGCCAGCCCAGAGTGTGCATTTTAAACTGCCGCACTGTCCTGGCCTTGACTGGGAGGTCCAGAGTTACTCTGTCCCCTAGGGGCAGTAGGGAGCCAGTGAAGGATGCGGTGCACACAGCAGTGAATTAGGAAGCTGGAGCTGAGGCAGGGTGCAGCGGGGACTGCCGGGGACAGGGTGGGACCGACCCACCTGGGGCACTGCCTCCTGGTATAGCATGCCCAGCCTCAGCAGGCTGTTCCAGAAGCGTCGTACTGTGAGCCCCACGGACATGCAGGGCCCCAGGGCCCGTGGGGGGGGCATCACCTGCTCCAAGCTGAGGTTCTCCAAGTAGCTCGCGCAGCTCTGAAGCAGGAGCAGGAGCCTGTGGGCACAGATGCCAGAGTTGGCTAGGGCTGAGGCTGGTGCCAATGTGACCACACAACTGGCAGCTTCTGCCTCTGGAGAACTGGCTCAAGCACTGGGGACTTGGAGAGCTGCTGTGCTATCTCCATCCTGACCCATTCCTGACATAACCAAGCATCTCCAAATGCTGCACTGTGGGCTGAAGGCCATGCCCTGTCCTCCAGGGTTCCCAGGCTGGTCTAGGTCCAGTGGCCTTTGCCAGGAGCCACTTACATGCACAAGAGTCCAGAGGAAGCTCCAACTAACTCAGAGGGGGACAAGGCAGTCAGACAGGGCGGGGGTGTCATGAGAACTTCAGGGGAAGAGGTGGGTAAACTGGGCTGACAGGTGAATAGGGCTTCTTTTCCGAAACGGGTGGGCAATGCATTCCCAGCAGAGGGACAGCATAATACAAAGCCCTGCAGGGAGAAAGGTGTGGTCTGTGATCACAGACGTACATTACATTTGTAACCTCAGAGGTAACAAATGGCACCATTGTACCAAGGCTCCCGCAGGCCTCAGAGTGGTAACCACGGCTTCTCTGTCCCCAGGCAGGTCCTATAACTGGGGTCCACTTCCCATCTCTGTTGCCTATCTGGCCCCCATGGCTTTGTTGAAAAGGTTTTTGAGCCCCAGGAGCCCAGGTTGCAGTCCCCAGGAGGTGGAAGGCTGATGATCACGTGAACTCTAACTTGGCGTGGTCATGGCAGGGCTGCAGGGAAATCCACTAGCCTCTGCCCAGCAGGGACAGGATTTGGAAAGACACATCTCGTGCCTAGCCTCGTGATCTGCAGAGGCAACAGCACAGCCCATACGATGCCAGGAAAAAGAGCCTGGGATGGAAACTCTGAGCAGCAGCTGTGGTTGAGAAGGCAGTTGGGAGTGGGCAGAGAGGTGGTGGCCAGGGCTACGGGGCTGCAGAGGCCAATGGGCACCCCATGACTCACTGCAGTGGACAGGATTAGGCAGCACAGAACAGCACAACACGCAGTGCAATAAAAGTGAGACCTCCAAGGGTCCTGAGCTGATCTGGCCCCCCACAGGCACTCGGTCAGTGGCGACTATTGTCCCACCATGGGAGAGGCTCCTGGAGCTACACCTGGTTTAAGGGACAGGTGCCAACAGCCCAAGACAGCCAGGTTTGGTCAAGGCCCTCACCTGTCAATGACCAGCTCCAGTAGCACAGCGTGAGAGAGCTGCGTGAACTCAGGGTCCCCTGGCACGTGGTCGTAGTGCTCCAGCAGGGTCACCATGTCGAGGTCGCAGGCCACGCGGTCAGGGAACTTCCAGGAGGGGAAGCGCACAGGCCCGGCACGGGAGAACACGTCCACAATGGCACCCTGCAGGTCGGTGAGGTCCTTGCGCAGGCTGTCCATGCAGGCCTGGCTGCCCAGCAAGTGCGCCATCCTCCAGCTCCTGGGGTGTGCAGAGGAGCTCTGTGAGCCTGAGCCTGAGTGATGTGGCTGCTGCTGGAGGACCCTTCCTTGAAGCCTTGTGCACCAGCGGCTTCTAGGCTGGGAGTCTATCCCAGACCCTGGGGACACATCTGTTTCCCAGCCCTGTTGACAAGGACCAGGTTGTGGGTGGCCTTGCAAGCCTCCTTCCTATTCCCCTCACCCCTTTCCCCCAATGTTCACCCCCTCACCTTGAGAGCACATGTGTGCCAGGCCCCCTGCTAAATACCAGGTAGACACAACTGTGAACAAGAACGTGCCTACCTTTCCCTCCTGAGCAAACCCTCCAACAGGGACACAGACAACTGAAACAGAGTCAAAGCCATAGCAACAGCAGCATGTCAGGGAGTGTGGGGCTATGCCACACGACTGTCATCTCTGCCTAGATCACTGTGGCTGGTTCCAGCAAGGCCACAGGCCTGCCCACTCTAAGCTGACAACTTCAGCTCCAGAGATCTGGGCCAAACCCTATCTGGCCACACTGCACTGGCCAATGACCCTTCGAGACTTCCTGTAGCCTGTGGGAGAACGGCCACCTGCAGCCAGCCACATCCCTCACGTCCCTTCACTGTGCTGGTCTGTAAGCAGGTGGCTATAAGGAAAAAATTATGTAATACGTGTAGTAATTTGGCACAGGGTCTGGCTTATAGCAAATGTTCACTGAACTCTAGCTATCATTATTCTTCTATATTAATTATAACAGCATGACGTATGCCAGCTACTGGGTATGTGTGTGTGACACAGAGAGAGACTTGGGAGAGCATCTCTTCCTATCACTGCCCTATTTTATATATTTTTTAAAGGTTTTGCCATACAGCCTGTGTGTTTGCTGGAAAAAGCTAGAAAGTGAGAAAGTGAGAAATCACGCCGCGCCCCCCCTCGGGGGGTGAGGATGGCCACAGAGCAATCTCTTCTCTTCCATATCCTTATCCGGATTTAGGACACACACGCACACGAGGCGTGATTTTCAAGCCACCAAGTCGGGGACTCCAACTGCGGTCAGCCATGTGGGAGTCCAGCGCCTTAACCACCATATGACCTGCTGGCCCCTCACTGCCTTACTTCTCAGGTGGGAAAACTGAAGTCCAAGCAGGGGCTCCAGCTCGCTCTCCTACATTTAGGAGCTGGGAGGCAGCAGAGAGGATGCAGGGAATTGATCTCAGGAAGGAAGGGGGGGAACGGATACTAGGTGTGTCCAGGGAGGTGGGGGCGTGACCTGCAGGGCCGCACCTGTGGGAATGGGGTTGGAGCCTAAAGAAGCCGCCCAGTTCGAGGTCCTGTGGGACTTGAGGGCGGGACTATGGCAGGTAGAGGGTGGAACTTAGAAACGGCAGGCCCGTGGGTAAAGGAACCCGTGGGAATTAAGGGCGTGGGCTTTGGAAAGGGGACTTGGATGAGAGGGTTTGAAACAAAAAGAGGGCCAAGGGTGTGTCTCTGAGGCTGCAGGAAGGGGCTCTTCAAAGTGAGAGGCCTACCTGACCAGAGCGCACTGAACAGAGAGGGAGCCAGGCATTAGAAGGCGGGGTCCGAGCGAGCGAAGAGCTGGTGTGTGGAGCAAAGGAGCCTCCAGGGCTCCGAGACGAGGGCTCCGGCCGCCCCGCGGGTGCGCTGTTAATGGGGCATCTCACCTGTCTCCGGCGTCGCGGCCTCAGCGTCTGTGTCCGGCTGGCTCGGGGACCTGCCCCCAGCACGCTTGCGGCTCCTGGGATGCTCAGAAACTCCTAGGCTGGCGCTCCGACGGCTGCCATGGCAACGGCGTCGCGCGCGGCCGCACGGGCGGTGGGAGGTGGAAGACACGCCACGGCGAGGGGGCGGATCCGGAAGTGCGTCATTCCCGCCTGTTCGGCATCGACTCCCTCGGCCGCCGCCATCTTGCGAGCTCGTCGTACCGTACGTGCAAGGAGGCTGTGTTGACGCGGCACAGCGCACCGACCAGCAGGCGGACTGGCAGCCCTCAGCGTCGCAGTCATGCCGGCCGGACCCGTGCAGGCGGTGCCCCCGCCGCCGCCGGTGGCCACCGAGCCCAAACAGGTACGGCGCCCCCCGCACCTGGACCAGCAGTCCGAGCCTAGGCCTCAGCCCTCCCCTCCCGCGCGGCCGCTGCATTGGCGGCCGCTCTGGCGAGCTCGGAGGGACTGCACGTCCCAGGAGGCAGCGCGCTTCCCGTGAGCCTCTTGCTTAGGGGAGCGAGCAGCATCTGCACACCTGGGCACTTAACTAGGAATGAATGCAGTGTCCGCCCTAGACCTTCTATCATGATAGGGGTGTGCCTTTTAACAAGATCCCGGGGTGATTGATGAAAGTATGAAAAGCACTGATCGAGCCCGTCTTCTGCGACCCCCGCCTCCCCCAGTAGTCTTTGCCCAGGAATCTCTTAATTTCCCGGCCTGAGAGGTGTGTCTCCGGTTGTGAATTCTCAGCATGTGCTTAATGCTTACACTTAAGCCCGACACCATGCCGGTCCGGACGTCACCAGGATGAATGGCATACGACCTTAGGGAGTTCATAGAAGACAGACACACCTACCTGAATGTTCAACAGATCTCTGCGGTCTGGGTTGTGATACACCGTTCAATGCCAGCCACAGCCCTTAAAAAGCTCTGCATCCGACCAGGGGGAAAGATGAACATAAATAATTTCAGTGCGGTGTGATAGGCTATTTAACAGGAGTGTTAGATATGAAGGCAACCGTAATCTGTAATTAGCATTGCTTGCTGGGTTTAGAGGGGAGATTAAGATAGGGAAAGCCCACAGAAGTGAAAAGGCAGTTGCTTTTAGAAAGATGATCGGAGTTCATAAGGAAAGTGAATGGGGAAGGGAAATAGCATTGCTTTAGTCAATCAGCAAACTTTTATTGAGCACACACAATAATGAATGCTGATGACTGAGTTTAGAATAGGGCAGGGAAAATGACAGAAGAGACTGTCCTGCTTTCCGTGCATATTTAAGTGTCTGTATTCCTGAGATTTTCCAAGGCCCCAGGGAAAAGTAAGATACACTGGAGTAGGAGTCAGGGGGTGTCCCTCCCTGGTCAAGGGTAAATGAGCAGGTGTTGTTGAAGCAGTGTTGGGACAGTGGTGGCAGGACATGCCATTCTTAGAATTTGACCTTTTCCTTGTGGACAGTGGGGAGAAAAGGAAGGGCTTTAAGCTAGAGAGTGGCATTTATGTTCTAGAAATTCAGATAGGTGAGCAGTGATGTAGAAAATTGCTAGGAGAATGGAGACTGGTCACTCTGTTCAAAGGATACTGAGGAACCTGGCCTAGGTTGTGGCAGGAGGATGGGCAAAAAAAAAAATCAAAAAATCACCACGGTGCTTGCTGTCCAGCCAAAGTGATATTTGGGGGTTCTGGTTCTGCCAATTGGGCCACTCAAGCTTTCCATTTCTGTTTTGTCATCTGTAATACGAGGATAACAAGAATACTTACACTTACTTCATAGGGCTCTCATGAGGAGTGTAAGAGTCAGTGTGTTTGTTTGTTTAAGGTTTTTGGCATATAGGGTGCGCACGTACGCTTGCCAGAGAGACAGGGAGATAGAAAGTGACAAATCCCCCTCCCAGGGGGGATGGTCATGCTACATTCCCTCTGCATTTTCCTCCTGGGATCTTGTGCATATGTGCGCACACACCCGGTTTGGATTTCAAACCACTGGGTCTGGGACTCGAATCGCAGCCAGCCACCTGGGAGTCCATCACCTTAACCACTATACTCCCCGCTAGCTCCGAGTCAATGTATTTAAAGTGCTCAGAAAAGGAACTTGGACCTGTCCTGTGCTTCATAATGTTATCACTGAGTGTAGAGGTTGAAAAAGGGAGGGGTTTCTGACCTGGATGATCTGGTAACTGGGAAAAGAAGTTAGGGAGGAAAGTGCCCAGGAGTCAGCTGGGGCTAAAGCTCTGAGGCGCAGGCACACAGGTGATCTGGGGTTCCAGCGGTACTGTCCAGCTTGGAGGTGGTAGGAATGGAGCATGTGGTCACAAATGCCCAACTGAGGATAGCGTGAATACTGTGACGAGAACCATGAACAGAATTTGGAGGGTCTCCAACATTATAGGGCAGGAGGTGAAACAGGAACCAGGAGGGAAACTGGGGTGGAATGGTTAGCAAGAAGGAAGGACCAGTGAGAATGGGGCCTGAGAGTTGCAGGAGGTTTTGTGAAGGAGTGTCACCAGCCACGCCCGTGGAACTGCTGTAGTTGGCTGTAGGCAAGTGTGTTCGACTTTGACAGGAGCACTCGAAATAAATGGGGACCAAATGGGAGCTGAGGAAGTAGCAGGAACTCAGAGTGTTTAGCTACCAGGAGAAGTGGAGGAAGAAGGCCATAGCAGAAAGGAACATGAAGGCAGGGGAGAGATGCTGTTTTTCTTATTTTAGAAAAATAATATACTCTTTACTAAGGGAAATGTAATATAATGTTTACTAAAGGGAAGAAGCTGCTAGAGAAAGAATATTGGAATTCAAGAGAAAATTAACACCTATTCCAGTGGCGTTTCACAGAACTTTGGCATATTCTAAAACCCAGAGTATGGGAACAGAGAGAAGCTGCCAATGAGGAGTTTCCCATTTCTTGAAGCTGCCAATGAGGAGTTTCCCATTTCTTTATTCAGCAATCATTCATTAAATATTCCATGCAGGGTTACAGATATGGCCTTATCAATTCTGAAACAGTTTCTTTTTAAGATTTTTTTTTGGGGGGGGGAGAAGTTTTTGCTATAGGGCGCGTGCGCTCACCAGACAGACAGAAGAGAGACAGAGAGACAGAAAGCAGGAAGTCACCCCCCAGGGGGGATGGCCACGCTGCAATCCCTTCTCCTCCATTCTCCTCTTGGGATTTTGGGCACACTCGCACACGCGCCCGGCGTGAGTTTAAGCCACCGGGTCCGGGACTCGAACTGTGGTCGACTACGTGGGAGTCCAGTGACATAACCATTATGCTAACTGCTGGTCCCCTTTAAGAATTTTTTTAAGAGAGATTTTTTGCTATAGCGTGAACATGTTCCCTGGAGAGAGAGACAGAAAGTGAGAAATCACACCCCCCACCCCCAGGGAGGATGGCCATACCACAGTCCCTTCTCCATTCTCCTCTCAAGATTTTGGGCACACATACACATGTGCCCTGTGTGAGTTTCAAGCTGCTGGATCCGGGACTTGAACCACAGTCAGCCATGTGGGAGTTCAGCAACGTCAGTCACCATTATGCCATCTGCTAGCCCCATCGATTCTGAAACATCGTTTCTCAGAATGTGGGCAAAGCCCCTGCATCTGAATTACCTGGGCGCTTGGTAAAATGCAGATTCCTGGTCCTACTGTTAAGTCTGCCTATGAGGGAACCAGGGAGGCTGCCCTTTCACTGGTTCCCCTGGAGTGGCCCAGACAAGTGTGGTACCGTTAGGGGAACTGCTTTTCTGAAGCAGAGGTCCTAACCCAAGGGGAAACTAGGAGAAGGTTGTATATGCTCAACAATATTCTGGAGGAGTTTAACTGGGGATCCTGCCCTAAGCCAGGAACTTTAAGACCTTATTTCCTTTGCTTTTTACAGCCCACAGAAGAGGAAGGAGCATCAAAGGAGGATTCTACTCCTTCCAAGCCAGTGGTGGGAATTATTTACCCTCCTCCAGAGGTCAGGAACATCGTTGACAAGACTGCCAGCTTTGTGGCCAGGTAACAGCTACTTCTTCTGGGTTGGGTCAGAGGTGGATTTTAGCACAAAGAGATCCCAACTCAGTCTGGGTGTTTCACTGGGTTTTAGAGTGGTGCTGGCTTACACCTGTTACCTTGTAATACTCAATGTGTGGTGAAGTAGCCAACAGGCAGGCCTGGTGCTCACAATACAGCACAGCAGTGGCCAGAGTGATAGTCATACCCAGCCCCACAGTCACCAGGAGCCTCTGTGTCTAACATGGGTCTGCGGAAATACCTGGAAAGCTGTTCTGTCACAGGTGTGTGTGTGCGTGCGTCCATCCATGTGTGTCTATGTGTATCTGTTTCTAATTGGTTGGCCTGAGGAAGATCAAAAAGGGAGTTGATCATTCTTATTGTACGGGGACCACATTCCACAGAGCTTCAAGTAACCCATCTGCAAATTTGAATAAAATGCCACCTCATTTGTGAGGCAGGAGTAAGGTGATGGACCCCGTGTAGTTCAGCTGTATGGTGCCAGTGTTAGCTTAGCTGTCTTCTGTGGTATTTCCATACCAATGGGTATGGAAATTGGTCAGGATTCCTCCCCTAGTTTAGGGTTTTTTGGTTTTTTTTTAAAGAGTTATTTTATTTAGCTTTATTTATTTACTTATTTTAATTTGACCTTAGAGGGACAGAGTGAGAGGGAGAGAAAGAGGGAAAATGAGAAAGCAGGTCCCATACTTGAATTGTGGTCAGCCATGGGGGAGTCCAGCACCCTTAACCAATATGCCACCTGCCAGCCCCTATAGTTTAAGGTTTTTAAAGTATTCATTTGCATCCAGCATGTCATGTCCAGCCAAGAGTGTTTGTTCTTTTTTGGTCAGAGGGTGCATGTGCTTGCTCCAGAGAGAGAGAAAGTGGGAGAGCGTACCCTGTGGGGAATGGTCATTGCCTGCTTAGTGATGAATTGAGCATTATTAGGCCACATCAAAACAAAATAAAAAAATTTTTTTAAAAGATTTTTGCTATAGAGTGTGTGTGCTTGCCAGAGAGATAGAGACATAAAGCGAGAAATCACCCCTCAGGGGAGATGGTCCCGCTGCAATCCCTTCTCCATTCTCCGCTTGGGATTTTGGTCACATACACACCCATGCCTGGCATGAGTTTAAAGCCACCACATCTAGGACTCGAACCACAGTCAGCCACGTGGCAGTCTAGCGACGTAACCATTATGCTATCTGCTGCTCCCAGATTTAGGGCAGCAAGTGTTTGGTTTAACGTAAATGTTTTGGCCCAGCCATGGTAGTACATGCTATCTGATGCTGTTACTCAGGGCTGAGGCCCCATAGGAGAACGGGGTTTGATTCTCAGCTCATCCTGAAAGCCAGGTGGAGCGGCATGTGCCCATAGTCCCTGCTACTCATTAAGCTGAGGCGGGAGGATTGCAACATCTCAAGCCTCTCTTAAAAAAAAAAAAAGTAATGTCTCACAAAAGCGCCCCTGCCTCCCCTTTTCCCTGGTATTTAGAAACAATGTAAATAGGAAAAGGGTCTTAGGTGAGAAATCACCACTCCCTACCACAGTAGTTTCTACCAAAGGTTTTCACTTTCCCATGTTTCCTTCTGGCCCTTGGCACCATTTTTAGATCCTGTAATACCAGCAGAGGTGCTTTCACACCCTGCCTTCCCCTCTAGGCTGTGTGGGAATCGGTTCTCTGTGTTCCGCTGTCTTCCTGACACTGCATTCTCCATTGAGAGGATGTACCAGGTCGAGGCTGAGGGCCTTCCTTCACTTGGCTGACTCTGTATTTTCTTTTGAGGCTGTTTCCAGCATTTCAGTTTGGCAAGTGAAGCTCTGGGAAAGTTCAAACATGTTTTTTCCCTTTTAGATTGTTTCCTTAAAAGAAATTTGTGTGTGGCACCTTGCTGGCTAAAGAGCATATTTGAAGACTGCCTTAACATCTCGCCACATGGACCAGCAGTTAGCGTAATGGCTATGTTGCTGGACTCCCACATGGTCGACCGTGGTTCGTGTCCCGGACCCGGTGGCTTAAAACCCACGCCGGGCGCGTGTGCGTGCGTGCCCAAGATCCCGAGAGGAAAATGGAGGAGAAGGGATTGCGGCGTGGCCATCTCCCCGGGGGGGGTGATTTCTCACTTTCTGTCTCTCTGTCTCTTTCTGTCTGTCTAGCGAGCGCACGCGCCCTATAGCAAAAACCTCTCAAAAAAAAAAAAAATTTTCGCCACATAGCTTTCCAATAATTTCGTGCCGTCCTCTGCTGCCACAGACAATGAGTTTATCTGTCTCTGGATTTTTCTAGTGACAGCCATTGCTTCTTTAGGTATTTCTTATACCTGCACACTTAACTTCCTTTTACCTGGCAGCAAGGGCCCAGTCTCTCACCCAGGGGTAAAGCAAGCACGCGGGACTCAGGGCTTCACCTCTGGCTTCACGATGCCCATGGAGCAGGTTGCAGAACTCAGCAGCCAAGTGTGGTTTTCCAAAATGCATTTTTCCTCTCTAGCTTACATCTTCCCTTCCCTGCCTTTTCCTGTCAAGACACTGAAATGGAAATTACCCTTAAAAAGTCCCAGCAGCTGAGTTGAGTCAGAATCATGTCTTTTTCTGCTGAAGTCTTTTCCTCGTGATAGAGGATACATTCTAAAATTAACATTAAGCTAATTCAAAGTAACAGAATAGCTTGGAATAAATACTCCTGCCTTGTCACCATGTTATGTTTTGGATTGTTCCCGATGTGGTGAGTTACGGCCTGAGGAGGCAGTATTACGGGAGAGGACCAGAGCCTAGCAACCCTCTACCCTGGCATTTCCTGGGTCTGGTGACCTAGTTTAGCAGGATTTAAGTGCATTCACCCTCCTCGTGTGCAGCTGGCATTATTTCAGGAGGGGGCAATGCTTCTTCCCAAAGCATGAGGTTCCACTTGGACTAGTGCATTGTCACATCGAGACCTCATGGTGTTAGTCATGCTCTAGGGTGTCACCAGAACTCTCTGAGGAGGTAGCTTGGGTGTTAATGACCACCAGCCTGGCACAAATCATTGTGTTGGCTAATCTGGGGCACAGGGCCAGGGGTGTGAAGGTCTGAGGACCGGCACCAGCCCCCAAAGCCGTGCCTTGATGTGTTCGGGTACCTCTCAGTGTGGGCTTCTGGCCAGAGCAGTGGAAGCCCTACAAGGCATTTCCTGTACCCGTATCAACTTGAATGTTTATGAAACAGCCTTTCTGGCCTTCTCAGGAGTGATAGCCCCTCACATTTGTAGGTGACTGTGTGATTCCAAAAGATTTTGGCATCTTCTTGCTCTGGGTCAGAATGAATTAGCAGTGACCTGAAGAGTTGAGTGTGTCCATGTTTTATGTCCTAAGGTTAGTGTGCTTTCTGACACAGGTATATGTAAACGTGGCACCTTGACACATTGCCATTGACACTCTTAAAGTCAGGGCTTCCTAAGCATCATGATGGGACATTTTTGCTCATTATCCTGTTTTTGAAGGCATGCAGACTGAGGGTGTGGGTTCTGTCTGGGGGCACAGAGAGCCATGGGAGAATTCATTCAGAGTACTCCGTCATCTGAGTGTGGTGTCCGCAGCAGCGCAGGTCCAGCTCCTGCTAGGGCAGCGTTCCTGATAGGCTCACTAGTAGTAAATGAGAAGATTTTAGGCAGCATTCAGATAAGGTATTAAATCATCTGTTTTTATGTTCTTTTTTTCAATCCTCTTCATTACCGAAAAGATGAAGTCTCAGTTTGGTGCTGGTGTATCTTTTTTTAGAGAGATTTTTGCTATAGGGCATGTACGTTCGCTGGAGAGACAGAGAAAGTGAGAAATCACTCAGACTGGATGGCCACACCACAATTCATTCTCTATCTTCCTCTTGGAAATTTTGGGGGTACACACACACGTGCCCAGTGTGAGTTCCAAAGCAGCCAGGTCCGGGACTCTAGCAGCAGGAGTCCAGTGCCTTAACTGCTAAGCCACTTGCTGGCCCCGGTGGTGGTGCAGCTTTAACACTTTCCAGTTCTTGCTAATCTCGCTAGTCTCAGCAAACTTCAGGCTAAAGTTTGATAATATGACTTAGTTTTTATTGTACTCACTTTTGGCTGCCTTTTGTTAATAATGTTACACTGATTTTACTTGAAGTAATAATATGTATATTCCTTTTTAAATACACTTTTAAGAGTAACTTTTATTGAAAGAAAAGCTGGACCAACCAGGCGGCATGGTAGTTAATGCAGCTAGGTCCTGCATGACTGATTGTGCAGTTCAAGCGTCAGACCCAGTGACTCGAAAAACATGCCAGGCATGTGTGCGTGCATGCCCCAAATCCTGAGAGGAGCGTGGAAGGTAAGGGGTTTCAGCATGGCCATCCCCCTGTCGATGTTCTTTGTCTCTCTCTGATGGTATAGTGTGCATGCAGCCTATACCAAAAAAACTAAAAAAGAAAAGAAAAGAAAAAACTCAGATGGCCTTGGAAATGGCAGAACTGGTAGAGAAGCTGAGGAACAACCAAGACTGGGGAACCCCTGTATTAGAGGCAGCCTGCAGACCCTGTGAGGCAGGTGGCACTGACCGCTGACACTAGGAGGCTCGAGGAGGATGTTTGCTGTGCTGAGGGACAGCTAGTTTGAGCAGTGGATGGTGGCAGGAAAGCGGCTTGAACGGGAGCAGTCACAAGGGTTGTGGCACTGATTCTTCTGTTATTTCCTCCAACCAGAAACGGGCCTGAATTTGAAGCTAGGATACGACAGAACGAGATCAACAACCCCAAGTTCAACTTCCTGAACCCCAACGACCCTTACCATGCCTACTACCGACACAAGGTCAGCGAGTTCAAGGAGGGGAAGGCCCAGGAGCCCTCAGCTGCAATCCCCAAGGTCATGCAGCAGCAGCAACAGGCCACCCAGCAGCAGCTGCCCCAGAAGGTTTGGAGCCCATTCCCTGTCATTACTTACCAGGGGCCCGGAGGGAGGCTAGGACAGGGAGGGTGGTGCATGATTAACTCTGCTGTCCACACCTCACAGCCACCCAGGGAGAGAAGTGAGGTCGTTACACCACCTGACAGAGGCACACTCTGAGCCCAGATAGTGAAGTGTTGCTGACAGTTGGCATTTCCTGAGCCCTGCTTGTGCTCCGTGCTCAGCAGTTTGTGAGCCTTGTCTCTGATTCCTCGTGGGGATTGCATGAAGAGGCCAGCAGAATGATCATTTTACAGATGAGGAGTCTGAGGCCTGGAGAAGTGTGATTTATCCAGGGCCTTGATCACAGCACGATGACAGTGCCATGGTGTGCACTGACCTACCTGGCTGGCTGTGCTGAAGGAGATGGTGGGGCCTGTGAGCACCTTCCCTTCCATCTCACCTTCTCAGGGTCTCTTCCGCTGGCCTGTCCTATCACCGCCTTCCCTGTGCTGGGCTTGGGAGAGTTGCAGCCAGCACTAGGAGCTGTGAGAGTTGTGGGTTAAGACAGGAAAGGCCAACACCTCTGCCTCCTGTGTAGACCTGGACTTTGCTCTGCTCTTAAATTGTGGTAGAAAAGGTAGCCCCTTGTTTTGCAAAAGGAAGTGAAAGTTGAAGTCAGGTTCTGAGACCTTGCATTATTGTTGGCTTCTAGGGCCTCAGGTTACCTCAGTTTCCTCATGTATGAAAAGGATTCATAGTCCCCATTCTGACTCCCCGTGGTTCATGTGGAGGTCATGGCAGCGCTTTATTCAGCAGGCTTCTCTGCACACATGACAGCCTCACTGCATTTCCTTCCTCCTCAGGTGGGATTCAATAAGCCTGGGCTATTCTACCATCCAGTTTTGGCCCTCAGTTTCAGGGCAAGAGCAGAGATACAGATGGATACAGATCTCACTCAAAGCCATTCAGGGAGTTGAGACCACAGTTGGTTTAGAAATTGATGTTCTCGTGAGTTAGGACTCTGCTCCCAAGTGTCAATGGTGTGCACATACTTAATAGAGGCAGATCACAGCCATCCTGTGGGGAGTACATTCCCACCCTCTCCAGATCTGGAGTCAGCCCAACTGTGCCACTTGCCTTACACACCCTCTGCATCTTAGGTCCAAGCCCAGGTGATCCAGGAGACCATCGTGCCTAAGGAGCCCCCCCCTGAGTTTGAGTTCATCGCCGACCCCCCCTCCATCTCGGCCTTTGACCTGGATGTGGTGAAGCTGACAGCTCAGTTTGTGGCGAGGAATGGGCGCCAGTTTCTGACGCAGCTGATGCAGAAAGAACAGCGCAACTACCAGTTTGACTTTCTCCGCCCGCAGCACAGCCTCTTCAACTACTTTACGAAGCTGGTGGAGCAGTATACCAAGGTACCCAGGTGGGGGGAGGCCGGGGCGCTGGGCCCAGGGAGGCGTGGCTGCTCAGCTCTCCATCCACTCGCTGTCCGCAGGATGCTGCTTCCTCCATACAGGCTGCTGGCAAATGCCAAAACTTGTAGTTTAATGGAAAATCTTATCTTCTAGTTAGTTCTTTTAGATACAACAGATTGCTTATTTCTAAAGAGCAATGGGACAGCTGCAGAAATCAGTAGGTGATTGCAGCATTACGGGACAAGACCAAGAGATGCTAGTTGCTCTTAATTGTTTTTATAGTTTTACTTGTCCAGTGTAGGACCTGAGAAGAAATAAACCAAAAACAGTGACCTCCTATTACCTAATTGTGGGTCCCCATAAGAATCCACTAGGTAAGTGGTTCCCCCACCCCTCCATTTTTCAGAAGCAAATACAGGCTCAGAGAGGTGAAATGATATAATCTCTCCATTAGCAAGTAACTGTGCTGAGATTTAAACTCACATTTGACTCTGAAGCCTTCATTGTCTTTACCTGACAAAATACCTTAAATCAGAAATATCATTTAAATAGGCATTAAGGGTCCAGCCACTAATGTAGCAGTAAAATGTGACATTCTGCTTGGAAGTCCTAGGTGGGAAGGTTCTTGGTTCAAGACCAAGAACATCCCAGAGTACACTAGGCACACGCTTGCCCGTGATCTGAGGCTGGCTGAAGGCTGGAGGTGGGTCACCACATCAGGACCTCATTGGGGGTGCTACCTGACTCTCTGCATCTGATTTGCTTGTGGAAGAAAAAAGGCATTGGCATAAAAAACACTTTAATGTCATATAAGCCAACGTAGCTCCTGTTTGTTGAGCCTGACAGCTGTGTCATCTCCTCTAACCTGTGTAAGGTAGCTCCTGTTACGCTCACTTCACAGAAGAGAACTGAGGCACAGAGAGGTTAACTTGGCCAGGATCGTACAGTGAGGACACCGCATAGCTGCCCTTGAGCTCTGGTATTTTACTGCAGACCCCAAGATTTTAAGGGTCTGCATCACTCCATTGCTGAAGTCAAGAATCTGGACAGCTCGGGAACCAGCAGTTAGCGTAATGGCTATGTCGCTGGACTCCCGGACCCGGTGGCTTAAAACTCACGCCGGGCGCGTGTGCGTGTGTGCCCAAGATCCCGAGAGGAGAATGGAGGAGAAGGGATTGCGGCGTGACCATCCCCCTTGGGGGGTGATTTCTCGCTTTCTGTCTCTATGTCTCTCTCTGTCTGTCTGGCGAGCGCACGCGCCCTACAGTGAAAATCTCTCAAAAAAAAAAAAAAAAGAATCTGGACAGCTCAACATTGGTACTTAAAATAATCAGATTGCTCTCTGGGCTCGGACCTAGTTGGCAGTGATATGGCTAAATGCACCAAGAAGGTCAGCATCGTCTAAATATGGGAACTGCTGTGGTGCCTCCCTCCGGAAAATGGTGGAGAAACTTAAAATCAGCCAGCACGCCAAGTGCACTCGCTCCTTCTGCGGCACAACCAAGAGAAGAGATGGGCTGCAGTGATCTGGCTCTGGCTCCTGCTTGATCATGGCAGCCAGTGGTGCCTGTACCTACACCACCACTTCAGCTCTCACAGTAAAGCGCCATCAGGAGACTGAAGGCATTGGAAGACCAGTAGAAGCTCCACAGACATTTGGAATATCACTAGCCTACAATAAATGTAACAACAATAAAAATAAAATAATCAGGTTATCGGGGCCAGCAGATGGTGTAGCAGTCTCACTTGGCTAACCACGGTTCAGGTCCCAACCTGGTGGCTTGAAAATCACACTAGGTGCGTGTGTATGCATGCCCAAGATCCTGGGAGGAAAATGGAGGAGAAGGTATTGCAGCATGGCCAGCCCCCTTGGGGTTTGATTTCTTACTTTTTCACTATCTTTGTCTCTCTCTCTCTCTCTCTGTTGAGTGTATGTGCCCCTAAAGCAAAAACCTCTTAAGAAAAAAATCAGATGATGATGATGATGGTTATATTGTAAAATATACTGATATAGATTTGCCCATGGTGTACTTCTTTATTTTTGGAGAGGTTTTCACTATAGGGTGCATGTGCTTGCCAGAAAGAGAGATAGAAAGCAAGAACTCACCCCCCAGGGGGGATGGCCATGCTGCAGTCCCTTCTTCATTCTCCTCTTGGGCGCACACACACACATGCACCCTGCGTGAGTTTAAGCCGTCAGGTCTGGGACTCGAACTGTGGTCGACTAATGGTAAATAGCCATTATACCATCTGTAGGTCTCCACACTTTTCTTTTTACACATAACAGTGGATGTTGTTTTTCTTATCTTTGCAGAGGGACGGTCTGTACATCTTTGTTTTTCTTTTTTTTTTTTTGTCAGAGGGCACCTTTGCATGCCGGGGCAGGGGCTAGAGAACACCCCTCAGTGGCCTGGTCACACTGCAATCCTTTTTCTCTTAAGTCTCGATCTTGTCGGAATCCTGGGTGTGCATGCATGTACCCAGATGTTTTTCAGACTATCAGGGCTAGGACTTGAACCATGGTCAGCCATGTAGAGATGAGCTTTCTCTGCACAGTGCCTAACTACTGTGCTACAGGGCTGGCTCTGCACATCTTGATATGCAGAAATGGAATGTTAAAATCTGACTCAGAAAGACTGATGAGGGGCCAGCAGGTAGCATGGTGGTTGAGGCACTGGACTCCCACATGACTGACCATGGTTCAAGTCCTGTACCTGGCAGCTTGCTTTCTCACTCTCCTTTCTCTCTGTCTTTCCCTCTCTGATTGGAATAGAAGAATAATGATAATAAATTAAAAATAATAATAAAATTTTTTAAAAAGATGGATGAAAGTTTTTTTTTTTTTTGGAGAGATTTTTCACTGTAGGGTGCGTGCGCTTGCCAGACAGACAGAGAGAGACAGAGAGAGACAGAAAGCGAGAAATCACCCCCCAGGGGGGATGGTCACGCTGCAATTCCTTCTCCTCCATTCTCCTCTCGGGATCTTGGGCACACACGCACACGCGCCCGGCGTGAGTTTTAAGCCACCGGGTCCGGGACACGAACCACGGTCGACTACGTGGGAGTCCAGCGACATAGCCATTACGCTAACTGCTGGTTCCCAAAAAGATGGATGAAAGTTTTTTTGTAACTTTAATTGCTCTGAGTATATAATAAGAAAGAACTATTTAAAATACCTGTGTTGGGACCAGCAATTGGCGTAATAGCCATGTCACTGGACTCCCATGTGGTCGAGTGCGGTTCAAGTCCTGGACCTGGTGGGTTAAACTCACGCCAGGCATGTGTGCATGCATGCCCGGGATCCCAAGAGGATAATGGAGGAGAAGGGATTATGGCGTGGCCATCCCACTAAGGGGTGATTTCTCGCTTTCTGTCTCTATCTTTCTGGCGAGCACATGCGCCCCATAGCAAAAACCTCTCCAAAACAAAATATAAATAAATACCTGTGTTTAGAGAACAGTTATACACAGAAGCTATAGTTGTATATAGCTAATATAATAAAAATTGAAAGCTCAAAATGAAGGGTTATTTTAAGTACATGGTATCTGTTCTGAGTGAACCTCAGAACTTGGGTGTTGACGTTTATTGTTCTAACCTGGGGCACTGGCATTTGTCTATAGCCATGGCAGACTACGAGCAGGTAGATTTCTTGCAGGGGAGGTACAAGGAGGATCAAGTTGGGGCTGAGCCACTTCACTAGTGGCGGTAGGTACTATTGGGGCAACTGGAATACTGGCTGTCTACAGCAAAAGTTGTGCCTGCCCTTAGTAAATAACGTGTGGAGTGGCAGTCAGGGTGCTGGAGATGGAACTGTGAACAGAAGCCAAAAGTCCCTGTCTTTGAGGGAGTTTCTGGAATGGTGGGGAGGAGACAAGTACTATGTCAGTGTGTGTCAGGTATGCTGAATACTGTGGAGAGAGAAAGCAGGACACAGACATACAGGAAGGTAGGGCACATGGGCCGCAGTCCCGAATAGTATTTTCAGAAGGATGGGAGCAGGTCAGTCTCCTGAAAGCACCATTACATGCTGATCACGTCCTGGGTGATCTGCTAGTGCTTTGCATCCTTTCCTGCTAATCCCTGGAACAACTTTTAAGTTGACAGTGCCACCTCTGGTGGTGCCATCATTCTGTAAAAGGAAGCCAAGTTGTAAGAGGAAATTGCCCAAAGTCCCACAGCCTAGTGGAGCTGGGATTGGGACCCAGAATCCCATGCTTCCTATCTCTTGTGCCTTTCTGCAGGCCCAGGCAGGTCACCTCTCTGTCCTGTGTTGTGATACACTGACAGTGCTTAACCTTTCTCTGTTTCAGATCTTGATTCCCCCTAAAGGCTTATTCACAAAGCTCAAAAAAGAGGCCGAAAACCCTCGAGAAGTTTTGGATCAGGTACGCTGAATAGAATTCATGCCACCAGGTGCTGATGGTGCAAGTTCTACTGAGTGGAATCTGTTTTGTGTTTGGAAATGATCTCTGAGGCCTTACTTTGTTATACGCTAGCACGGGAGTGGTAGAAAGAAAGGCCTTGTGGCCACCAGACCAGAGAAACCTGGATTCTTTATGCTTTCCAGGGTAACACTGCTTTCTGCTTTGCTGTCAGCTTCAGTGGGTCCTCCCCTAATCTAGCTGGATGGCCAACTGGCAAGCAGGTCCTCTGGTGATACATGCCTTTTGATGCTCTTAGGCTCTTAGATCTTTAGTCAAGAAAGCCAGCTGGGGAACCAGCAGGCGACATAGTGGTTAAGGTGCTGGTCTCTCACATGGTCGACTACAGTTTGAGTCCCAGACTTGGAGGCTTGAAACTGAGGTTGGGTGTGTGTGTGCATACCCAAAATCGCGAGAGAAGAATCGAGTAGAAGGGATTGTGGCGTGGCCATCCTCCCTAGGGGGTGATTTCACTTCTCTCTGTCTCTCTGGCAAGTACATGCACTGTGTAGCAAAAATTCTATAAAAAATACAAAGCAGATTGGTACAGGCTATTTTGGGGCTATGTAAAGGCACTTGTTTCTAGGCTCTCAGACATCTGCTTCTGGGGGCAGTAGGTTGTCACTCAGGCTTTCTGGAGGGTTTTGATGCCCTGTAAGCACAGAGCCCCTTACTAACACAAGCAGAAAACTCAGGCTGTGACAAACAGTTGCTCTTCGGGGCCAGACAGCATTTAGAATTTTCATTCTGTCCACATTCTGGGCCTGGCTAAATCAGATGAATATACCATAGTTTGTTCCATTTCCTCATATACCATTTCCCTTCATGGGCAGAGCAGCATCTTATCCAGGAGGAGGTGCTGGCTTTGGTGAAGGCTGTGGAGGTGACAGCCTGGCCGAGAGCAGACCCTGACTTGCTCTGCACCGTGCCATGTCCCATCCTGCAGGTGTGTTACCGAGTGGAGTGGGCCAAGTTCCAGGAGCGAGAGAGGAAGAAGGAAGAGGAGGAGAAAGAGAAGGAGCGGGTAGCCTATGCTCAGATAGACTGGCATGATTTTGTGGTGGTGGAAACAGTAGACTTCCAGCCCAATGAGCAAGGTAGGTCTGATGGGAGAGTGAGCTTCAGGTGGTGAGGCAGGAACCTGAGCCATCCTGAGAGAGCAGCAGGATCTCGGTGGGCATGATCAGTGCCTTCTTTCTCTCTGCTCCCAGAAGACTTCATTTCTACTGAACTTCTGTGCCACACCCTGGGTGGGCTTCTGGAGACGGAGAGAACACAGCCGTAGCCTTCGAGAACACACATAGGTTGGGGCGGGGCTAGTGGGCATACAGCTTTTCGTTTGGTAAAGAATCCCTTTGATGTTGGCCTGCCCTCTGCAGGGAACTTTCCTCCCCCCACCACACCCGAGGAGCTGGGAGCCCGAATCCTCATTCAGGAACGCTATGAGAAGTTTGGGGAGAGTGAGGAGGTAGAGATGGAGGTGGAGTCTGATGAGGAGGATGAGAAACAGGAGAAGGCAGACGAGCCTCCTTCCCAGCTGGACCAGGACACCCAAGTCCAAGATATGGATGAGGTAAGCCCCTGGGTGGGATGACCTGCTGGAGCCACAGGAGAGCAGGCTGATGGTCATGGTCTAGTCATGGTCCAGCTCCCCTGTGAGCCTCTAGAGGGGGCGTGGCCTGCTCGAGCCCAGGCAGCAGAGGACCTCTTTCCAGCTCTGGCAACAAAGCTTCATTCACGGACGAGGATCTCCAGGCCGTGCCGCCCTGTTCTGTGGCCTGCCCTTGGCCCAGCGCCCTTGCTCCCAGTGTCCTGTGCCAGCCCCCAGGGAACACTCTACAGCCTCTTAAGCTCTGGTGCATTTTGAGCTCCTAGCTAGGCTCAGATGATCAGCCGTTCCCAGGACTTCTCTAAATGTAGCCTACACTTCCTTTCAGACTTCCCTACCCCCTACAAGCTAGGCCCTCCAGGCAGGCCCAGAGTCTCTCTCTAGAGCCAAGCTGCTCCCCACTCGGAAAGAATTTGTGTGCAGCCTGAAAAGAAAGGCCCCTGTGTCTGTGGGAATTGACTTTTTCTCTCCCTCCCAGCATTGCTCCATGAGCGGCTGCCATTGAGTGCCGGCTCGCCCCCGGCAGCCCTCCCCAGCATGTTAAGTGCCCTTGGCCTCTTGGGACTGCCTGGTGCCAGCTGCTGGAAATGCCTGGGAGGAGTGTTAGCACCACTGCCCCCAACGCTCCCATTCATGCTGTGAGGAAGCAGCTTGGCCTCCTGCCGCTGGCCCGCCTCCCCCCCCTGCCGCTGGCCTCGGCTGCCCTGGGAGGCTTAGCACATGGACACTGGCTGGCCGGAGCCAGGGCTCCTGGGCATACCCTGAGAGCTGCCAAGGCTAGCTGCAGGGAGGTAGCCTCTCATACCCTCTCTGAATCCTGCCACTGTTTTGCTTTCCAGGGTTCAGATGATGAAGAAGAAGGGCAGAAAGTGCCCCCGCCCCCAGAGACACCCATGCCTCCACCTCTGCCTCCAACTCCAGACCAAGTCATTGTGCGCAAAGACTATGATCCTAAAGGTAGGGCCTGCTTCCCAGCTCTTGGGAAGGTCCTGCATGAGGGAAAGTCCTGCATGCCCTCCTGTGTTCCTTAAATGTGTGTGTTTCTGGGAGGGTTTGAGGCAGCTTATAAAAGCATGGCTAGTTTCCCTGTTACATGCTTCGAAGTAGGGGGACAAGGCCATTTCCTTGGTGCATTGCAGTGCCAGGGACAGGGAGTGAGGGGGGCGCTGTGTAGACAGGTTTGAGTGAAGGAGGCGCAGATGAAACACCATGCTCCTGACCCAGGTTGCTTCCCACAGTTCTCACTCACACATAACTCTTTCCTTTTAGCGTCCAAGCCCCTGCCTCCAGCCCCTGCTCCAGATGAGTACCTTGTGTCTCCCATCACTGGGGAAAAGATCCCGGCCAGCAAAATGCAGGAACACATGCGCATCGGGCTCCTAGACCCCCGCTGGCTGGAGCAGCGGGACCGCTCCATCCGTGAGAAGCAAAGTGATGACGAGGTGTATGCTCCAGGTGAGATGGGAGCCCCAGGAGAGCCTGTGGGTGTCTCTGCGTTAGGCTCAACCTGCTAAAGCAAACCACAAGCAGCAGTTGAGATGAGCAAAAGCTGTGGAGGATCACTGCCACCTCCGCTATTTTAGAACCACCCGTTTTCTCCAAGGTCACTCTGCAGGAACTTTCTCCTGATATCCCAGAGCAGAATCTGGCTGTAGCTTGGAACAGTGTTCGTTGAATGAGGGCATTGATGGCTAATGGAGTCTGAGTACCCCAGTCTCCTGTTGAAACTCGGGCGTCTTGCTATTGCAGTGCCAACAGCTGCATGGCCAGGGGAGAAGGAGGGTATTGCCCAAGGGAGGAAACCAGGCTTCAGTCCTAGCTGCTGCTTATCCACTCTGGGACCCTGTTCCCACAGTCTCTGGCCCACCATCCTTTTTTAAAGCAGAGAGGTTGGATAAGTACTGGGTTTATAGGCTTAGCACTGATTGGGCAGTTCTCCCCAGACTCAGGATAAGTTGGGACCCAGAGCAGCCTCATCTGATGGATCAGCCTCCACCCTGCTCATCAGGAAAGTTCTGCCTTGTCAGAAGGGCACCTGGTTTAGTTTCTGTGCCTTGCTTCCATTCTCAGGTCTGGACATTGAGAGCAGCCTGAAGCAGTTGGCTGAACGACGTACTGATATCTTTGGTGTAGAGGAAACAGCCATTGGTAAAAAGATTGGTGAGGAGGAAATCCAAAAGCCAGAGGAAAAGGTGCGGCTAAAGAGGACCCAAGTCCTTTCCCCATCCTCTGTCTCCCATGCTGGGGCTTAGTTCTAGGAGCCCTGACAAGCTGCGGCTTTGCTCTCCCGTGCAGGTAACCTGGGACGGCCACTCAGGCAGCATGGCCCGGACCCAGCAGGCTGCCCAAGCCAACATTACCCTCCAGGAGCAGATTGAGGCCATTCACAAGGCCAAGGGCCTGGTGCCAGAAGATGACACCAAAGAGAAGATCGGCCCCAGTAAGCCCAATGAAATCCCCCAGCAGCCACCGCCTCCGTCCTCGGCCACCAACATCCCCAGTTCGGCTCCGCCTATCACCTCGGTGCCCCGACCACCTGCGGTAAGGAGCAGCCACGCTGCAGTCGAGTTTTTAGAGCTGGGTTCTTGAGGTGGGATACTATTGGCTGAGAGGGGCGGCTGTCTTTTAGTGGGGCCTGAGTGCTGAGCGGGTCAAGTTAAAAGAGAAGGAGCCTCACAGTTGAAGGAACCTCTAGCTGATCTGTCTGCAGAGGAGGTTGGAACAGGGAGGGAAGCAAGTGGCAAATGTGAGAAGCATGTCAGAGGCAGAGAAGAACTACAGGGCTTAGCAGGTCTTTGAGACGCTCTCCCGTTGTCTGCCATGTCCCAAGTGGAGAGAATGTCTCCTTGGGCCTCTCAGCAGCACAGTATGTCAGAGGCCTGATGGGAGGTGACAGTCTCTCAGCTCCGGGGGCTGAATCAGCTGCCGTTGGTTGGTGCCAGCTGTGTGTGCCCTTGGAGTCCAGCCTTGGCTACTTGTGACCTGTGGATCCCGTTGCCCCCACAGATGCCGCCTCCTGTCCGCACTACAGTTGTGTCTGCTGTACCTGTCATGCCCCGGCCCCCCATGGCGTCTGTGGTTCGGCTACCTCCGGGCTCAGTGATTGCCCCCATGCCGCCCATCATCCATGCACCCAGGATCAATGTGGTGCCCATGCCTCCCTCAGCCCCTCCTATCATGGCACCCCGCCCACCTCCCATGATTGTGCCAACAGGTCAGTGTTTCTCGCATCCCTGTCCAGGCCACAGTGGAGGGTGGGCTACAGTCCAAGCACTGTCAGAACAGTGACCGATGTTGGTGCCAGCAATTCCAGCTGGGGACTCAGCCCAGAGGACAGCCCTAACATCCCTTCTGAAAGATCCCTGAGCTGGGAACTAGGACCCAGAGCACCTGGGAAGAGAGGATGCTGAAATGGTGTGGCTGGTTTCTCTGCACACGAGTCAGGCCCCACACAGGCTCAGAGGCCTGACGGGTGCTCATTGTCAGCTGGTACCTGCTCCATTATTAATCCTGCCCCTCTTCCAATCCCCTGCAGCCAATCGGCAGCCTCCTAGGTACCCTTGCCACGGACTTGGCCAAGAGTGGCACTTCACACCTCTGGGCAAGGCCTTTGCAATGTCCCCCTCTCAGATTTTCATCTGCCTCGAGTCCTGGACCCCTGCCCCTGACTCATGAGGTTGCTTATTTCTGTCTTTGCAGCCTTTGTGCCTGCTCCACCTGTGGCACCAGTCCCAGCTCCAGCCCCAATGCCCCCCGTCCACCCCCCACCTCCCATGGAAGATGAGCCCACCTCCAAGAAACTAAAGACAGAGGACAGCCTCATGCCTGAGGAGGAATTCCTACGCAGGAACAAGGTACGGGGCGGGGCGTCAGAGTTGGGGGCAGCCTGTCCGATCATACACAGTACCCTGGCTGACCCTGTTCTCCCAGGGTTTTGACTTCCAGGGCCTAGGTCAGCCACCGAAGGCTTCTGTGCACACTAAGTGTGGGGTCAGCAGTTGGAGAAACAGGGTGGCGGTGGTGATGTTGGTATGGACTCTCAGAGGCCAGCAGGGAGGCCCAGCATAGAGGTTGGAAAGGGGTGTTAAACCCCTGTGGGAGATCCTTAGTGTGGTTCTTAAATTCCGAGTCGCCTTCTCCTACAGCTCCAGCCCTTAGGAGGCCTGCCTGTGGGAGTGGGATCCTGGTGGGGTGCTGGAGTAGGGGGAGGTGGGAACCTTGGCACTATTGGTCCCTAGGAAGCTGTCGAGCTCTGATGAGGGACTGAAACAGTTCCATCTCCTGTTCCTTTAATGCATTTGACTAAGTATTTTTCCTGGTTGCTTTTCTAATAACAATGGCCCTATCTTAAGCCTTTTACTCAAGTGCCAGAATAGAGCCAAGTGCTTTACAGGCACTTTCCCTTTAATGCTCACAGTGGTACTGTACATAGTTGTGATCAAGCGTGTCCTGGGGATGACGACATTGGGGCTTAGTGAAACCTAGGTAGCTGGGAAACTGAGTTAGGCACCCAGGTCTTCTGACCTTTTTGGTCATGTTCTTCCTCTTGTGGTACATCATGGGGGTTTTAGAGCATTTGACCCACTTACTCACTTTAGCTCCAGACTCACCAGGAGGTGAGGCAGAGATCTTTTTATTTATTTATTTTTTTTACAGGGAGAGGTTTTTGCTATAGGGCAAGGGTGCTTGCCAGAAAGGCAGAGAGACAGAAACTGAGAAATTACCCCCCAGGGGAGATGGCCATGCCACAGTCCCTTCTCCATTCTCCTTTCGAGATCTTGGGCACTCACGCACACACACATGGCGTGAGTTTAAGCCCTTGGGTTCAGGACTTGAGTCATGGTCGACTACATGGGAGCCCAACGACATAGCCATTATGCCAATTGCTGGTCCCAAGTCAGAGATCATTTTTTAAAGAAGAGAAACTAGGGACCAGCAGATGGCATAACAGTTTTGTTGTTGGGCTCCCACATAGTTGACTATGGTTCAAATCCCAGACCCAGCAGCTTAAAACTTGTGCTGGGCGCATGTGCTTGCCTGCCCAAGATCCCAAGAGAATGGAGGAGAAGGGCTTGTGGTGTGGGCATCTCCCCTGGGGGGTGATTTTTTGCTTTCTCTCTCTCTCTGGCAAGTGCATGCACCTTATAGAAAACTGCTCTGAAAAAAATATCTGTATCGGGAACCAGCAGTTAGCGTAATGGCTATGTCGCTGGACTCCCACGTAGTCGACCGCGGTTTGCGTCCCAGACCCGGTGGCTTAAAACTCACGCCGGGCGCGTGTGCGTGCGTGCCCAAGATCCCGAGAGGAGAATGGAGGAGAAGGAATTGCGGCGTGACCATCCCCCCTGGGGGGTGATTTCTCGCTTTCTGTCTCTATGTCTTTGTTTGTCTGGCAAATGCATGTGCCCCTGTAGTGAAAACCTCTTCAAAAAAAAAAAAAAAATCTATATATGTATTTAAAGAAAGAAAGAAGAGAAACCAAATTGAAGAGGAGTGACTTGTATGACATTGCAGGTGCTGTCAGTAATGAATCAGGGGCCAGAGCTCAGGACCTAGGACAGGTGACATTGTCTGGACTGGCCCAGGGATAGCAGAGCATAGCTCCCGGTTAGCTGAGTATCTTGGGGTATGATGTCCACCTCCTGTTTTGCAGGGTCCAGTGTCCATCAAAGTCCAGGTGCCCAACATGCAGGATAAGACGGAATGGAAACTAAATGGACAGGTGCTGGTCTTCACCCTCCCTCTTACGGACCAGGTATGGATTGTGGCCACCAACTGGCATCAGGTGCATGGGAACCAAGGGGTCCAGGGATGGCTTCCCCCGACTGGCCTTAACAAAGGGATGAATGACCTCTTCTTGGTCCCCAGGTTTCTGTCATCAAGGTAAAGATTCACGAAGCCACAGGCATGCCCGCAGGGAAACAGAAACTACAGTATGAGGTAAGTCAGAGTGTCCACATCTTGGGTCCCAACACTGTGGCATCCCAAAAGCTAAGTCATAAGGAAACACAGAAGAGTGGGCAGAGAGCTGGGTGTGGCCTTCTGAATTCATCCCAGAAGTGGTGATATTGCCTGGGAGTGCTGGGGGGGGCAAGCCTGACGGTGCAAGGCTCTGACAGCACCGCTGGTGTGGGGTCCATAAAGCCTCTTGTCTCAACAACGAGGCAAGACTTAAGAGCGCCCTGGTGGTTCCTGATCCAGTGCTGGGGCCTTCCTGGCTGGTGCAATCTAGTACTTTGACTTTGCACCTGGTCATGGAGGGGATAGTCCAGCTCGTCCTGATGTGTACCAGGTCACACGGGATGCTGTGGTTTCCTGCTGGACTTCCACAGGTGCCCACTCAGGGCCTGTTTCCTTTCCTATAAAGTGAGGTGGTTGGATTAGGTCATTTATAATTGTCTTAAGATTTGATAGTCAAGACTCCGTGGGTTGGTCAGGGCCAACTTCTTAGGGAGGTAAGCTTTGAGCCAAATGTTGACAGAGGGAAAGCATAAATTGGTAGAAAGGAATGAAAAGCATTCTGGAAGGAACTGGAGCCTTCTAGTGCCTGTCCCCTGCCTTCCCTCAAGCTCCTGACTTGCTAGGTCCAGAATGAATGGCTGAAGTTCAGAGTTGTGCAGCTGTGGTCATGTGCCCAAGGCCAGGGTGCCCTGCACTAAGGCATGCCATCTGTTTTCCAGGGCATCTTCATCAAGGATTCCAACTCGCTGGCTTACTACAACATGGCCAATGGCGCTGTCATCCACCTGGCCCTCAAAGAGAGAGGCGGGAGGAAGAAGTAGAAGAGTAACCTGCTGTCAGGTCCCCACTATTTTGCTACTCTGCCCCCCACTCCCTGCTCTAGAGGCCTACCTGGGGCCTTCCTGCTAATTTGTTTCCTCGTAACTCAGTTTGGAACTTCAGATCATCCTGCAGAGGTTCATTCTCCCTACCCCACATCGATAGTAGTAGCAGGGCTTTCTACGCTATTCTGGAATCCCCTTGCGTGAGGGTCTTGATTTGAGGGCGTTCATTTCTTTGGGCAGCCTCTTAGGAGCTGAGAGCCCCAAGGGGTCCTATAGGATAGTTTTATAGTATGGGGTTGCACTTGGCTGATAGAATATTGTTACTGTCATTGTTTTGTATCTTGCCACGGGCTATCTAATAAACCTCTTGGACCCTTCTTGTGAGAGCAATGTAATAAGATTTTCCCTTTGCTACCTGTGTCCTGTCTAGACTCACACTGTGAACACCACATGGTGCCCTGAGGCTCCTCTCTGTTGTGAGGAATCCTGGGCTTTGTAACTTCTTGCGACAGCGTATCGTTTATGTATTAGAATGTTTCAGAGTCAGCAAGTAGTCTGGTGGTTCAGACTCTGGACTTGAGCATGGCCAACTGTGGTTCGAATCCTGGATCCAGTGGCTTAAAGATTACATTGGGCATGTGTGCCCAAGATCCTAGGAGAGTGGAGAGGGGAGTGTGGTGCGGCCATCCCTCCTGGGAGGTGATGTCTCACTTTCTCTCTTAGGACAAAACCTTAAAAAAAAAAAGTTTCTTCTTAATTTTTTACAAAGCATTTCATTTTAATTGCCCTTTTAAAACATTGGAGTCCTGTGTATTTATACAGTGTATTCTGGTTGGGAAAATTTGTTTTGTATGCTGCGGTGATGTACAGTGAATGACTGTAAAATAAATACACTTTAAAAACTAAAAGTGAAAAATAAAGAGACCCCTGGGGCGCACTGTGGGCTGACTGACTAATACAGCTTGCCAGCACCACAGAAGAACAAAGATGAATGATTTGGTTCCTGGGTCATGGGCAGTAGATACATGCAGGTGAGTGTGCAGGGTGGCAGTTTCCTGTAGGCCTAGTTCACCCATCGTCTGATTGACTCTGTGGCCCTGGGCAGGTGCCTCACCTGATGTGCACATAGGGACATGATGTGTTTCTTTAAAATGTGTTTATTAATAAAGACTGTCAAGGCTGAGCCCTATTCTAAGAACTTTCTAAAAGTTAACTAATTTACTCCTTACCGTTTCTAGCACGTGATCAGTTTAACTCTATTATCATCTTCCTGTCAGCATTCCTGTTTAACACTTAAGTGACTGAGACCCAGAAAGGTTGTGTCACATGCTTATAGTCACATGGTATGAAGATGAAAAGAGACTATGTGTAAAACACTTGGTGCAGTCCTGACCTTGGAGTAAGGGCCACACAGAGGCTGTTATTTTTGGAATTGACCTATCACGGGAAGATAGCCACTTCCGTGGATGTTCAGCGGGGAGAGGGTAAGAGCCTGCTGATAACCATTTCTTGGTTTTAAACCCAAGGCTGACTTCTTTCTGAAGATCTCCTGTGTGTTAGCCTTTTTAAAAGTTCATGGAAAATGGGATTAAGGTACAAATTTAGGGCCAGCCCTTAGCCTGGTGCTTAAGAGAGTTGGGTCCTGCATGGCCTACGTGGTTTGAATCCTCCACCCTGTGGCTTGAAAAGCACACCCAAGTACATGTGGGTACACAAAGAACTGCCAGGGTGAGAAATGAAGAGAAGGGATTGCATCATGACTAGGCCCCGTTGGGTGCTCTTGCCGTTTCCCTCTCTGGTGATCACATGCTGAATCCCTCACTTTTGTTTTTTTTAAGATTTTTTTTTTTAATTTAAATTTTTATTTTTTTAGTTTTTGGTTATAGGGCATGTGTGCTCACCAGAGAGAGAAAAGAGACCCAAAGGGATGGCCACAGTTCTCCATTCTCCTCCTAGAATTTTGTGCATACATGCACGTGCTCTGCATGATTTTCACGCTGCTGGGTCTGGGACTAGAATTGCTGTTGACCATGTGGGAGTCTAGCACCTTAACCACCATACCACCTTTAGGCCCCTGGATCCTTCACAGTTTTAACTTTGTTGATGGAATGTCATTCCTCATTCTGACATGTGCCTCAGTCCTGGTTGCTAGGAGTTTGCCCCAGGGGCCAGAACTGAAACTTGCCTTCCTGAAATGGGCTTCTTAATGGGGTTTGGGTACTTCTTAGTGGGATTTGGGCATTTAAAGTGAGCCCCCTGCCACCGCTTCTACACAGCCAACTCCAGGAAATCCCTGTGGACACCACCTGGTCTTGTTCCAGAGGGAAGGAGGTCAGGAGATGTGAGGGAGTCCTAGCTCCAAGCTCTCCTTTCTTCTGGGATTGGGGGGCAGGGCAGCTGGAAGGCTGTGACTGGCCAGGAATGCTGCTGGGTGGAATATAAGTGAATGGGTCTTTTGAGCCGCCCTCTGGGGAATGAAACAGTTTCTGGGGAATGAAACAATTTCCTGTAGCTCCTGAATGAACATCTGTCCTGGCTCACTCAATTGCAGGAGACCCATTGACCACAAGGCCTTGTGACCATCAGTAGCCACGGGTCCAGTGTGCGGCCCGGCACTGCACTTCCTGTTTAGGGTCTGTGGTCACATGTAGTGCCTCATGGTTCACAAAGCTGCCCAGATGGCTCTATGGCTTTCTCAGTGCAATCTCTTGAGGGTTATCTACCTCATTTAAGGTGGACTGCTCAAGGTCGTGTGGCCAGCGAGGGCTCGTCACTCCTGGTGAGCTCACTAGCCCACTGCTTCTCTGCATCAGCTGAAACAGGAAGGAATGTTCCTCCTGTGAGATTGGTGGAAAACTTGGACAGGACTTGATGCTTTGGAGTCACTGTAACATTAAAGACTTGGCATACAGAAGGAAGGCTCCAGGAGTATTGGCATTAAGGGATTGCACTTTATCTTTTATTTTTTTAAAATAATTCTTTGATTTTATTTTTCATCATTCTTTAAGAAATTTGACCAGAGAGAGAGGCAAAGTGAGAAAGCATGCCTGCAGGTCTAAGACTCGAACTGCTGTTGGCTATGTGGGAGTCCAGTGCCTTAACCACCATGCCACCGGCTGGCCCCATTTTTTTTTTTTTTTTTTTTTTTAATTTTGTTACAGGGCATGTATGCCTGACAGAAACTGAGAAAGCAGGCTGCCAGGTCTGGGACTTGATCCGTGGTCAGCCATGTAGTTCAGTGCCTCAACCACCATGCCACCTGCTGGCCTGGTGGTCATGCCACCTGTTGGCCCAGGATTGCATTTTAAATTTTACAAGCTGCTTGAAATGAGTTCTTGTAGCCCAGAGGATTCCTCCTAATTACACCCATTTTACTTTAAAATTATATAGTGTGGGCCTGCCAAGTGGTGTGGTTAAGGCGCTGGATCCCACATAGCTGAGTATGCAGTTCCAGTCCCTGACCTGGTGGCTTGGAAAACATGCTGGGTATGTGCACGTGTATCCCCAAAATCCTGAAAGGAGAATGGAGGAGAGGGAATTGCGGAATGGCCATCTCCACTGGGAGGTGATTTCTCACCTTCCCTCTCCATTAAGCACACATGCCTTATAGCAGAAAGTTTAAAAAAAAAAAAAAAGAACAGTGATATATATGTATAGTTTAGGGAACATATAGAGTGGTTTTATAGGATTATGTTGGGATATATAATAGATGTGAATGAATATGTGCTATGTACTATAATAATAGCAATCATTTAATATTTATCCCTGTAATTAAATTTGGAAAGCCAAGGAAAAAAATTACTTTTATTTATTTTATTTTGTTTTATTTATTTTAATTTGACCAGAGAGAGACAGAGAGAGAGAAAGTGAGAGAGCAAGCCACCAGGTCTGGGACTCAAACCATGGTTGGCCATGTGGGAGTGTCCAGCACCCTTAACCACCACACCACCTGCAGGTCCCTAGAAGTTTACTTTTTTTTAGGGGGAGAGATTTTTGCTATAGGGCGCGTACACTTGCCAGAAAGACAGAGAGACAAAAAGCGAGAAGTCATCCCCCCGGGCGGATGGCCACACTGCAATCCCTTCTCCTTCATTCTCCTCTCGGGATCTTGGGCATACATGCACACGTACCTAGCATGAGTTTAAGCCACCAAGTCTGGGATTTGAACCACAGTTGACTACATGGGAGTCCAGCGACATAGCCATTAGGCCTACTGCTGATCCCCCTAAAAGTTTAGTTTTTTGAAAATAAAACAAGACTTCAGAGTGATGATCTCTGAAGATCATCAAAACTCTACCCGGTTTGAGGATTTGTCATTAACTTCTGCGTTGTATTGTAAAAACAGCATGTAAGTGAATAGTTCTGCTATTCCTGGACTCTACCATCCATGAGTCAGGACAAGATAAACTCCTGTTCTTTATCAGCGTATCATTACAGAGGAGATAGGACTGTTTTCCTAAGCCAGTTCAGTTAAGTCCATCCCTGATTTGTAGTGATTAGATCAGAGTTAGGCATGTGACCTGATAGAAATGACCACGAGGAAGTACAGCCGCCTCACCATTGGACAGAAGCTACCAGAAGACCTGTTTTGGGACCAGCGGTTGGCATAATGGCTAGGTTGCTGGACTCCCATGTGGTTGACCACAGTTTGAATCCTGGATCTGGTGGCTTAAACTCCCGCCAGGCATGTGCCCGTGCGTGCCCAAGATCCTAAGTGGAGAATGGAGAAGGGATTATGGTGTGACCATTCCACCTAGGGGTTGATTTCTGACATTCTGTCTCTGTCTCTTTCTGACTTTCTGGTGAGCGCACGTGCCCTATAGCAAAAACCTCCCAAAAAAAAACAAAAAACAAAAAAGGCCTGTGTGGATATGAAGGATTAGACCTAGAGCTGCTTTTTTTTTTTTTTTTGAGAGGTTTTCACTATAAGGCGCGTGCGCTCGCCAGACAGACAGACAGAGACATAGAGACAGAAAGCAAGAAATCACCCCCCAGAGGGAAAGGTCACGCCGCAATCCCTTCTCCTCCATTCTCCTCTTGGGATCTTGGGCACGCACGCCCACGCGCATGCACACACGCCTGGCGTGAGTTTTAAGCCACCAGGTCCGGGACGCGAACTGCGGTTGGCTTACGTGGGAGTCCAGCGACATAGCCATTACGCTAACTGCTGGTTCCCAAGGGCTGCTTTTATAAGAAGCTGTAACTTGAGGATGAAGCAGCCACAGGAAAGAGGACAAAGAAAAATGAGGTCCTGGCTCTAGTGATACAACCTATAGATCAAACTGCTGTCGAATCCTGCCCTACCTATGACTTTTAAAGCTATAGGGCCCGCTAAATACAGTTTTAATTGAAGCCTATTTGAGTTGTATGTCCTCTA